ACGCGAGCGACTGACTAATACTGAATGACGCTCGCGTTATGCGCGACTGTGTGAGCATCAACAGGACGCACCACTGCTACGCATCACGCACGGTAAATCGGCATAGTGACAGGGGAAATGAAGGAGGAAGGGAGTAGGAGAAAGAGATAGAGATAAGTAGATAGATAAAGAGAAAGAGAAAGAAAGAAAGAAAGAGAGAGAAGAACAAAAGAGGATAAGAGAAAGACCATTAGCGCTAACCGACAAGAGATTGAATAAGAGAGCGGAGGAAAATGTAGGGGAATCGCCCACGCCGAAGTATCTGACAACTTTTACACTTGGTTGTGCGCATCAGAGCAATTATTGTCCTTATCTAGACTCTTCCAACATGCGTGTGTGCTCCAGAAAGAGTGTTATCAATCAAACAATTTGCATGTGGTTATTTCGCTGCAATACACGCACACGTGTAGAATGTGCATAACAAATGTTGTGTTTCTTCCTATCTGTCAAATATTGATATTTTTAATATTATGGAGAGAAAGAGAAAGAGAGAGATAGTATATTATCATATATTTATATAAGTATTGAACGCATTAAATTTTATTGCGGTCAAAATATGTTGTTGAAGAAAACAAATTTTGAGAAACAATATATAATTGTTTGTTTCAACTGTACTGCAATAATTGAAATTTTCAAAACGTCAGAAATCACAAAAATAAACAGATGAAAATTTTGTGATTTTTTAAATCTCGTATATTTCTATATTTTTGTCTCATATATTTTCTCCCCCAAGATAAACACCAATGACTGCATAAATCTTTACATGTACGTACAACACTTTGTTGTCCCTTTAAAATCAGGCGAACCTAACCTAAACCTAAACCTAAACGAGAGACGATTTTGCATCTCAATAGCTTGCGAATCTTGTGAGAAAAATCAGATCCAGTTGCTTTTAATAGCAACATAATTTTTTGCATAACGTAATAAGTTGAAATAATCTGATTCAACAACATACAAAAGAGTAAAGTTTCAGTATGTTAACGGATTCGATAACCGATAAAAAAGAAATTGATTGATTAAGAACTTGACTTACCACATGAATTCTTGCATTTCTAATACTCTCTCGTCTGCGAACTCTCGTTTGATAGTCATTTAAGCAACTCAAATAATTATTCTCTTTGTAACAAATATCGTTTAACGACTTGCGACCTGTTTGAATGTGTTTCTTCCGGGGCGCCATTTTATTGTTTAAAACTCTTTTGTCAGTTGTCACGGACAAATTCTTTTGTTGCGCACGCGCACTAAAACTTCGTCAAAGTAACGCCACAAACGCTTTAAAGTATTTGTAACGCTACGTTGACCGCAGCATCTTCTCAAGTACCGGCAATAAATTGAAGAGTTAATGGATCGCGCATAAAGCAGTATACTTTATGTATTTAAGTTAACAATTGTTTAGTTTGCATTCGTGTAAAAATTATCAAAACTATACAACAAACGTGCAAATATTATCTTATCACAGTCTTTGCACATATTATATTTTAGCTTCTGTTAATTTAACAAGAAGCTTATTTTTGGCAACATTATCACCTTTACAGCACAATACGTCCTCAACAATTCCATCGACAGACGCTTTAATAATATGCTGCAAGAAAAATAGAAAATATAAATGTATATATATACATATGTAACATAAATAATCTTTCTCTTAATTGTAAGATGATATTTTTTCTATCATCTTACAAGTTTTGTCCAAATATTTATAAAACTTTAGTTACCTCCATTTTCATAGCGACAATAACAAGCAACGAGTCGCCTTTTTTTACTACATCCCCTTTATTGACAAAGATCTTGTCGACTAGTCCGGGCATCGGGCTCAATGCTGCGCATGGATTTTGCTCTGCTTGATTTAAAGATAAACTCATGAATTTTGGTGCGGGAAGAACCAATTGCCATTCACGGTTCTGTATATGAACGAAATTATTTTATTTTGTAAAATTTACCGTGTGCGCACAAAAATAGGTTTTTAATTTCTTTGCTACAACTAACTACTCACCTTGGTAAATATGTGTAAGTTATTGTTAAGTTTTACTATTCGCGATTTAATGATAACTCCATCAATTTCCGTAGCAAGTTCTAACGCGTCGTCGTTTGTTTTCTTCAAAGTCCCGCTCACTTTCCTCCAGGGTCCCAATCTATTGACTCTCATCAGATATACATCCGGTTCAGCGAACTTCGTTTCTACTATGTGACTTTCCTTTCCGACATTGAAATTAAACGTGTGCTTCAACACATGATTAAGTCTAAGTCCAATTTCCACAGCGAACGGACTAAAGGGATCTTTCGTTTCTAAAGACATACTTAATGAATTCGCATTGTCATGCAGTATTGTAGCGAGAGCACCTTGAATCAGTACGTCGTTAGATATTTGTAACTTAGGAAATAGCTCTTCGAAGTTTTCCTCAATGAATCCCGTGTGTACCTCGCCGTTTACAAATTTTGAATGAACACAGAGGGTTTTAATAAATTCTATATTTGTATCTAGGCCAGCTATCTGTAAGTATAATTGTTTTTATGTAACCAAAAATATAAATTATATATAAAAATACAAATTTATTTATCATTTATTCTGAATTAAGTGAACATACGTATTTATTCTTCAAATTTTTGACTCGCGTAATTGCGACTTACATTATATTCGCTAAGTTTTGATCGAAGTATATCAAGAGCTTCGCGCCTGTCTTTTCCCCAGACCACCAATTTCGCTATCATTGGATCATAATGCACGGACACCTCGTCGTTTTGTCGCACTCCAGTCTCGACTCTGACATTATCCGCTGCTTCAGGATGCTTCAAGTACAAAAGTTGACCGGCTCCTGGTAAGAATCCGTTTCTTGGATTCTGTGATATGGTAAATAAAATTACACATGTACATTCAATGTTTAACATTAATATGTAAACAAAAAGATATGACACCTATATAATTCATGTAATGCAATTAAATATACAATGTTTCATTACCTCTGCATAAATTCTGGCTTCAAACGCGTGACCTTTGAGAGTAATCTGTTCTTGTTTGAGAGGAAGTTCTTCTCCACTTGCCACTCTCAGTTGCCATTCGACCAGATCCAATCCGGTAATCGCTTCAGTAACTGGATGTTCCACCTGTAGACGCGTATTCATCTCCATAAAATGAAAACTGTGATTATTTCGATCCATTATAAACTCTACTGTTCCAGCACCCACGTATCCCACAGCCTTGGCAGCGCGTATCGCTGCTTCACCCAATTCCTTTCTGAGCTTCTGAGAGATGCCAGGCTGTAAAATAAATTATGTAACATAAAATTGTAGTGTTCTATCTTTCTCGTGACAGAACGATCAGAAGAAAAACAAACATACGGCAGGCGCTTCTTCGATCACTTTTTGATGTCTCCTTTGTACAGAACAGTCTCTTTCGAACAGATAAACAACATTTTCGTACTTGTCAGCAAAAATCTGAACCTCCACGTGTCTAGGTTCGGCGATATATTTTTCTAAAAGCACTGCTGAATCTCCGAATGCTTTTTCAGACTCCGTTCTTGCGGATTCGAGTGCTTCTGCGAAGTCAGATTCTGTCAGAGCAATTCTCATACCTTTTCCACCGCCACCACGCACCGCTTTGATCATCAACGGAAAGCCAATTTTTCGGGCTTCTGTCAGTAATGTTTCATTTGTTTGATCTTCTCCGTGATAGCCTATATACGGAAACAAGAATTATAAATAATTTGAAAAAAAAAAAGTTATTTCTTTTATGTTTTACTCTTTCAACATGAAAAATTAATATTTGCCTTCTATGATGGGGACTCCAGCTTTTGTCATAATAGTTTTTGAAGTATTCTTTATACCCATGTCTCTGATGGCACTAGCTGGCGGACCAATAAATACAATATTTTCTTTCTGACACAATTCTGCAAACTCTGTATTTTCTGACAGAAATCCATAACCAGGATGTACAGCTTGGCACTTGGCTTTTTTCGCCACTGATATGATTTTGTCTTGACGTAAGTAACTCTGACTAGAATTAGCAGGACCAATATAATAAGCTTCATCAGCTTGCTCCACATGCATGGAATTTCTATCTGCATCGCTGTATACAGCCACAGTCTTCACACCAAGCTTCTTGGCAGTTTTGGTTATACGACATGCTATCTCCCCTCTGTTTGCTATCAGAATCTATATAAGATAGATTTATATTAGAAGAAAAATAATAATATAGTTTTTTTATATTAAATGATATCAAAATTTTTCCTCCCAGACTGACTTTGTTGATTCTGTTGATCTGTGAAGCTGACTGATGCAAATCTTGAGTGCCCAAGGTTAACCGATTTCTGTATAATTTAAAACCAATTATAATTAGTAAAAACAGGATACTTGAGAAAATTGACATGTCATGTTTACCTGTGAAGTAATGTCTTTAATTTTCCCAGGCGATACATGGTGTTGTGACCAGATGACAAGTATGCAATATGTGGCAGTTTAGTAAACATGTCTCTGTTTACATGAATCGATTTTATTTTTTTCTTCTTTTATCTCTTTATAGTCTTCCAGTTATGACGACATATTTAACGATTATGTCGCACATGAATTGCGTTATCGGTCAACCTCATATCACACGTACGGCTCCGACCGTTGACCTCTTCCTGTTTGATGCTGTTTGAAAAGATTTGATCAGCAAGCGTCTCATCTCAAATATTAACGTTATATTTAATCGACGCATTTCCGCGCGAAAACAAAGATTTGATAGGAAAAAGCGTGTCGCTCCGAAGCTTAAGAGAAGCGAGTTTTAATTAAGCATTATTACAATTACCTTTATTATTATATTACCTTAATTTTTATTATGAAATCTATTATATCGACAGCTGCTCGTTGTACCATCCGTTACCTTAATTTTTATTATGAAATCTATTATATCGACAGATGGTACAACGAGCAGCTGTCGATATAATAGATTTCATAATAAAAATTAAGGTAATATAATGGGAGCGCTGTCGCCGCAACGATAAGATGCCGTCAGACTTTTGTTGAGGACTAAGGATCATGAACGTACCGGAGACGCGAAGAAAAAAAATTCAAGCGGTAAGACTTAAACAATAGATTGACTAATTGTAGACAGATTTTGGAGAGATTGTTCCGAACGTATTGTAATTACATAACAATACAAATGATACGCGTCGTACAATCTTGTACACGAGTAACCTATGTTACGTTACTTGTTACATTTGGTTACGTATCATATTTCTGCAACAAAGTGTATTTATTGCGCGTTTAATTCGTTATCAAGGGCTTTTGGTAGAGCTACCATTAAGATATCAAAATCAATAGCGCTTGTATCTTGATACGGCGCTAATTCAATTGACATCAACATCAATTTGGTCCCTTTGATCGGCGACCAATAGGTCGGGCAAATCGGTTTTCGATAGTCGCGCAAATTCTGTAAGTAATATTCTGCCGTTTATCGTCGTTAATTTAGAGAACATTAATATTACCGAGAGTAGTTTTAATAATAATAGCTTTTTGTAATAGTTTGGTTTAAGATTTTTTCATTGAAACTATTTCTTTAACGTGGAGGGAAAGACTGTAGCTTCATGACATCATGGCTACCCCCCACCTGTATTTATTTCTAATTTCATTTAATTGTCGAACTGTTGAAGCATCAAAATGTTCAATCGGTTACGTGTCGATTGGCAAAAGGATCAATTAAGATAATTGACATAATTAAGAATTTTCTTGTATAAAATTAGAAGAGTCTTATTGGATATTAGTTTTGGATGTGAAACACAGAAACGTTTATTTTCAGAGATAATTACAAAATATCACACGTGATTGCATTTACAGGCAAATGTTTGCACTTTTGCGCGTATACGGAGGAAACCACACGAATTTGCGCACACAAGAGAGAGAGAGAGAGAGATGCATCGGGGGAAATCTCGCATAGCTAGTGTCAGATTGATTTGCTTCACCTAAACCACCGCTCCACCTGTCCCTCCCTTTTCTTCTTGCTGGAAATCAGAGAGAGAGAGAGAGAGAGAGAAAGAGAAAGAGAGAACGAGGAGGGGTGCCAGTGGATACCGCCCTGGATTTTCCGGCAAGTCGCGGCGAGGAAGGGTGTTTACCCAAGACACGACAATTCATTACGTAATTGAATTGAATAAGCCCTCTCCTTCGCTCTGCGTCACCCTCCCTCCATTCTGGATGGGCGTTCGACTCGAACGTGTACACGTGCGAATGCTCAGGCACGCGTGTGCGTGATCTGGTGGTGAACGCGAGGGAGAGTTAGTGCGGGATCCAGAGGTGGATTAAGGTTTCGGAAGAGCCCCCGGAAATCGACTAGACGATAAAGCGTTTTTTAAAACGGTGATTAAGGTACAACAGCTTTTCCAAACCAACGTAACATTATCTGGTACAAACATTTCCTTCTTGATTTGAACAAAATCGTCGATGAGAATCATGATGAAACTTTTATCCAGGTATAATACATTATTAATTAATCTACTTATTTAACAATTAATAATATTAATATGCAAAAGAAAAAAGAAAACAGTAATTTTTAAATCGATAACAGTCAAGACATAATTTTGTAGTTTATGCAAGTTTGAGGCAGACATAGGTTCTCGATTAGATAATACGCATAACTTTAAACTTAATTAAATATTGAAATATAATTTAAAATACGCGTTATATATATATATATTATTGTTATTATTATTTTACTGAACTCTTACGCACACATGAATTTTAGACATTGTAAACTTGTCTGTGCGAAAATCTGTACGCGTACGGAATTTCGGCGGTGTGCAGTTACGGTCCTGAAGAGATACCGTAATCCCGCCGTGCGCACCCCGTTTACCGCCCGCACAGCGTCGTCTGCTCTCCTCTCCTCCGAAGCCGTGGAGATTCGAAGGCTGGAACATCAAGCGGAGGGACCGGTAGCCGAGCGACCGAATTAAACGATTAGTTAAACTGATTTCGAGTTAGGCGAATGAATAAGTAATCGGATTTCTCGTTAAGATAATCGCATTGCGCGCCCTGATTGGCTCCGTCTGCCTGCGTTATAGGCCGCACCCCCGGCATTTCACCCTCCGCTCCGCCCCGTCCATCCTCGTTCACGTCGATGCGCCGCTTTCTCTCTCTTTCTCTCTCTCTCTCTCTCTCCGCAGTACGTGAAACGAGAAAAGGATAGTCCTCTCGTCGTTTGCACGAAGGTTTCCTTGCTCGTTTCCGTTGCTGGCGTCTCATCTCCCAGAGATTGAGAAGTGTGAATGTTTGGAATAATGCGCACGCGTGTTGATTTTACCCCATTTGCCACTTCAAATTTATTTCGTTCTTTGATCGTCGCTTATTAATTCATTTTGAGCAGTACAAACGTTATTACTGCGAAAAACACTACGAATTAAAATGACAACAACTTTTAAATTCAAAATTATTGTGTTCAAACGCGTTTGTATTTATTTGCTCTCTCTCTCTCTCTCTCTTTCTCTGTCTCTCTCACTTTGGATTTTTATTCTTCTTTTTTCTCATCTGTTCATATACCGTGAAACGGACCGACAACACGAGTAGGCAGCCCGAGCAATTACATTTCCCGAACGCAATCCCATTTAAATATTGCCGAGTTTGATGGCGACAAACACGAGGCACGCGGTTCAGGGTCGCATTTATCTGACACGAAGAGAAGAGGGATTTACCGTGACACGAGAAAGGATAATTTCTGCAAATCATAACACGTGTCAAGAAATATGAATTTAGTGATACCGACAGAGAGAGAAAGTCTAAAATGGGAATCACCGTTTCTCATCAGCAAACTTGCGCGAGAAACACTAATTATTTTATTGATAACGATAAATCGTGCCGGGGAAATCGAGGATCAAGAACAAAATCGAATTTATGTCAAGACGGAATACGCGATTCTGAGAAAATTCTCTTACACATCGATAAAAAAAAAACGTATAAAGAGAATAAACTGGAGAAAAGAGAGAACAATGGCAAGAGAAGTGGATATTGAAATAGAGAAATATGTAGAAAAGAGCGAGGCAACAGATGTGACAGATGTATCTTGTCACGCGAAACCGTTTTGCGTGTATTTCACATGCGAAATTTCCACGCGCGAAGTTGACAGAAGACACGATCTTGTTTCCTGATGGCGATCTTGTCCAGATCCTTATTATTTAAAAACAGTTTTTTACATTACGTGTGATAGTTCATAGTAAAGATACCTAATCAAAATCACGCAGAAACTTGTAAAACGACGTGTCTATTTCTATTCATAAAATAACTTTCTCTTTCCAGGTCTCTCGCGAAGATGTAGGTCTCTCTTTCCCTCTTCCACCGATCAGATGACCAATAATGACGCCGGACAAAAAGAAAGAGCTCGACCGCGGAAAGCATCGGATTAATTACCGCATGCCCACGACGGCCTCTTTCTGCCTCTAGATAAACAGAGCGGCCCTGGACAGTCACGAAAACGCGGAGTTGCGGGAGGTGAGTGGCAGTAGTGGTGGTGGTAATAGCAAGCCAGTAGATAGTAGTGTAGTGTAGGATGGTCGCTGAACCTGCAACATTCCGCTCGTGGCCAGCGACGAGAGAGGGGTAGTTTTCCCGCGAGCGTTTTCGCGGCGGGCGGAAAAGCGCAAATGCTAATGAGGGTCGGTTTGGAGGTGGAGAATGCCTGCCCCCGGGAGATGAACGAGGAGGTTGCGAGCTCAGATGATGGTTCCGAGGGGACGAGAGAGAGGGTGAAGCACCACGGAGAAGGCGAGAGACACTGAGAGGCGTGTCGATCACGCCCATTTGCGCGCGGATTGGCCAGCGGCCGAATGGCGTCCCGTGTCGGGGCGACGCGTGTAAGCGTCGCGACGTCGGTATCGCGACGTACATCCCCCGAACGAGGTACGGTCCTCTCTTACGAACAGCGACGGCGAGTGCCGTCGGTGCCAAGGCGCGACGTCGCGCGCGAGAGTCGCCCCGATAACCGTGAGGATGGAGCAGCTCGCCCAGTTCGTCTCCAAGAGCTTCGACAACGCGTCGGCGGCGGTGGCGGCGGCAGCGAGCGTTGAGGCCACTGCCGGCTGCAGGGCGGCCGCTGCCGGCAGGATCACGCTCAGTGTCGCACACCTTATCGGTGATCACGCCGCAGACGACGGTGATCGACGTACGTGCGATTACTGATTATTCCCGGCGATGATATGTGCCACGACGTTCTTACGACGTATCCGGTGTAATCGTGTTGATTGAAATTTTCATTTGAGAAGATTCAATCGACACTGCGATCAATCGCAGTGCGCGGTTCGTTATTATATGAGCAATATCGAACATGCTGGCAAATGTGCTGGACTCGTAAAGGAATTTGTAATGCGTGTCACAGGTCGATTCGTACGTGTGCTTGTGCGAATTTGTCTGAGTGTGATTAATATCAATAAACTTTAATAAAATATGTATATGAATCTGAACGCATCATCAAGAAGACACTAATAACTGTGTGAAAGTTACATAAAATCGCATATATTTGCTCAAATTCTTATTGAATTATAACAGCAACTTCTATTAGTGTAAATTCTTTTATTAAAATATGCACAAAAGTTTTGTTTTAATTTTTACTTTACATATTATTCTTTATACTCATCTCACGTAGTATCTCATTCCTCTATAATTATATACAATACAGATTCTATTGTTGTATCATACATATCTGTATTGTACTGTTACTTTCTTGAAGAGACTTCTTCCAACATTAATATATGCAATTTTTACCATCAGTCGAATTTAATTTCGTTTATCGTAAAACAAAAATTTATGAAAATAATATTCGTGAATCTGCAAATGCTGGTAAAACCACTGACTTACGAATCGACCTAATCGTCGTCGTTCTTCGTCGCAGATATAGCGCGCGATCAGATAGTTCTATGCGTCAAGCCAATACAAGCAAACTCCTGTTTAGATGAAGGCGCGCAGAAATCTGTGACAACAACCGGGACGGTCGTCGAAACGAGCGGAAACGGCGAGGAACCGCCGTCGCCGGAAGGCCGGCTGCAACCGGAGGATTTATCTGTCACGGCCAAGATCAAGGACATCCGGGATACCGTGGAGAGCCTACCGCCTCTGAAGACTCCCGAGCTGAAGTTATCGGTTCGCAAATTGCTCGGATGTACTCCCTCGCCGCCGCCCATATCGAGAGATCGATCGATCAGTCCAGAAAATTATGTCGAATTGAAAAGCCAAAGCTCGAGCGACGGCAAAACAACCGTATCCTCGAGCGATCAGGCCAAGGTGCCCTCGCAGATCTCAAGGTCAAGCGGCCTGGGTCAGGAAGAATCCTCTAAAGGTAAGTGACAGCGAAAGAATATTTGCGATCGCGAGAGTACAACGATCTAAACTTCTTCGTTGTTATGTATTTTTAAATTAAAACAAACAATTGCATTCAATGATTTTTTTATGACGAATAAGAATAATCAGTGATGTTGTTTTCTGGAATAAAAAATAAAAATGTTAAAATGATGTTAAAATATTTTATATATTTATAAACTTAATCTATAAAAGAGTTAAAAGGATCATAAAATGTGATTTAGTAAACAAATGTAAAACAAACGATAAATTATTTACTATCGTAAATAACAATCCGTGTCTTTTGTGACAAATGTAGTCTCCGAAGAGTTTTTTGCTTCGCTACTGACAAGGTACATAATTTATTTCGAAAAAACCAAGAACAAATATAGAACCATTAAATAATTAATTGAACTGGTGCGCGATACAACACACATTCTGCAAGTTTATGGTAATGGATGTGAATGTGTTGCGTGTATCGAGTAGAAAAAAAAAAAAAACAATCTTATCTATAAAACACGGCAGTTATGCATTTATACAGGTAATCGAACTTGTTCTCGGACTCTTTTTTTTTTTTTTTTTGGTGTCACGTTCGGTTGTAAAGCGGCGCGTAGCGTCAGTTCTGATCGTGGCGGTATATCGCGTCGGCTTCAATTTCATACGGATCTTTGCGCTCGTTTGTGATTGCCGCGCGAACGAGTGCAGAAACACGTAGGTCAGAAACCTCCGGCGCCGATGGCGACGGCGGCATCGAAATCGCACCGGAGGGATTCGATCTTCATTTATAATTCAGACCGTCGTCCAATAACGCTCACAAGTGATTGGGAATAGCTGACCGTTCGCAACGTAACGACCGGCGACTCGACCGGCGATTTTACTCATGAGCCAAGTCATTCTCAATAAAACGCTCGTTTCGCCGAGCACTGAAAGATGAAATTACGTCGATTCTCCTACTCGTTTTCTTCTTGGACAGACGGAAGCAATCCCCAAAACAGAAAACCCTTTTTTTGCAAGAGTTAATTCACGGGAAATCACAATCAAACGTATCTATCATTTATTTTCTTTCTTTTTCTCTTTCTCTCGCTTTTATGTTCTCGCGATTCTATTTAACGTCTTACAATTGAATTCAATTCGAATGAAGAAACCGCACTTTTAATATTGTTCTTATTTGCTAAACGTTTATTTTCAAACAAATCCAAATCTGAACTCTAAACTCTAAATTTTTCAACGAATAGGTCAGTCAACCTACGTGAGGGATGTGACTAAACGTGCGACGAAAAACAACAGCATCTCTCGCGAGAACAAGATTGAACGGACGAGCGAATGGAACAGAGAACGGGGATGAAATCGACAGCACAATCGCGTTATAAAAAGCGTGTGGCGTTGAGGCAACGCCACGCACGCTTCCCCGCGCGATAACTCGGTCGCCGAGCGGCGAGTAAAGCGCGGCACCATGAATTTATGGTTTAATATGCGGCCCGCCGCGTTAGTTTTGTGTACGCCCCCTAAACCGGGGAAGGGAGTGACGAGGAAACGCGTTTGCTGCAGCGGCAGCAGCAGCAGCGGCAGCAGCAGCTCGCCTATCTCTCGAGGGCCCATAACTTTTTCCGATTAAACGCAAATCAAAAAGCAATCTGCCGGGCCGGCAGCCATCGCGGCCACGAAAGTAAAACCGTAAATATATCCGCGAAGAGTCGGAAGTTGGAGGGACACATCTCCGCTTTTCACCAAAAAGATGAGGTGATAAATTATTAATTCGCTCCGCCCGGGGATATAATCTGTTTTATGTTTAAACATTTTTAATTATATATTCCTTGTATAAATATATGTTATATATTTGTTTTTATATTTTTTGTAAATTATTATATTAACGTGAAAAACACTCTCCAGCCTAGAGAGAATAGTAGCGTCGTAAATGCTTGCTCAATCGTACATATACTGCGCCTTTCGGTTCTGAGACCAACACTTCCAACGATGCCCCGAAATACATTTCGTCTCTATCTCTCTCTCTCGACGATTTAACGTTGCATCGCGCCCATCGGTCTTCAGTCGCGCGTGTTTTTCCGCGATTCCCGTAAGTGTTGTGCTTGACCGCCGGTCAAAGGCAAGCTCGCGCTCGCACGTATATTTATGGCACTTGGGGCTCAAGTTTCCCGAAGTATGATAGCGAAGGGTGCGCGCCGCTTTAGGAAAAAAGATGAGATACCTCTTTTTCGGATTTACGTCCGAGCTATTCGCCAAGTGCTTTCGCGATGTAAAAGTCTTGCAAGATAAAAAGTAGCGGCAAGATCTTCGGATATATAAAAAGTGTATCATCGTAAAATCATTGAAGACACGACGCGCCATGTTTGTCGAGAAAGTAAGCCGCATATAAATTTTTGTTTTTTGTTGCGACTAGCGCATCACAGACGCGCGCTACGCGCACGCTATTATTTTTATTTTAACATATTCCGTCAGTAGACACAACATGTCACCGCGATGACAGCTAGTACACGTACGACAGTATGACATGAATCGAGAAACACATTATCCGAGAAACGTCACCGAGACGTCCAATCAACGTATGTTATATATATTATATATAATATTCTATATCTATATATAATACACACACACATATCTATATAAATACCATAATCACGTGACTAAAGTCAGTGACCGAGGTCAATGACCCCGCCAAGGTCGCGCGGCCGGGTCAGTGACCCCCTTCCCACCAAGGTCGCGCGACTGAGGTCAGTGACCTTACGGTAGTATGTACATAATATATATAATATACAATATAAAGTATAATATACTTTATATATTGTATACTATATATATAATAAATTATATGTATAAAGACAACAATAGATGCGATACATTCGATATCAAAACGCGCACTTCGCGGTACACATGGATTGTTTATATAGGAGGAAGAATAATTTTAAATGACTCTGCAATTAGAGTCCCGAAAAATTGGATAAATGTTTGGGCGAAAAAGAGTTGAATTTGTTGATGAGCACGCGCGATTGTCGCAAAATCTCGTTTTATTTCATTAAGTGATAAGTGATTGCGTATCTCCCTTTGCTTCTCTTGCGTATTCATGTGACCGTGTGCCATATGTAGCCGGGGGTTACGTGTTAGGATACGACGCTTTTATACGTCTAATGGCCGCGATATCTCGGCTCGTTTCGAAAGGAGAAAAATAGTAGTATGGCCATGGTGGCGCGCGTTTGGTCCAGGGGGGGAGGGTGGTGTAGTTCTTTCGGGGTGGCTTAACTGGATCAGGCCAAGAGGGCAGCGCTCTTAGTAATCGAATTAGTGACCCCTCGCGTTCGAGTGTGATTGCTTTGGGTTTTCTAGCAGCAGGGTTCGGCTATCTCCACTCTCTCTCTCCTTCGCGTCCCGTCGTTCCTCTTGCTCGTCTCGATATCCGCCAAGTATCGGTTAACGTCCGGCAGCGATTTAGTCTTGTAAAACCGAGAACTCGTGGTAAATGGTAACGATTTCGCACCTCGAATCTCGAGACGCTCGATATACGATCAGAAATAGTTCTGACTGGGGAAATTGAGAGGAGAGAGCGCGCTACGGGAACGTCGTGCTTACCGGCAAAAGTCGCACGCGAGATTTAATGACTTTGCAAATTTGTAATCGACGATCCGATCTCACTGACATTTCAGTAATGGCTTGTGATATATTTATTTAACGTTCTTCATTCAGTTTTAATATACAGCTCATTTTTTACGTGATGCAATTATAAACTTTCAGTCTTATCTCTCTTGAAAGGGACTAAAAGTCAATAAAATTATAATCTTTTAGTCTTATTTTTCGTTCCACACAATGAATTTGTACAATAATTACGACTGCGTGCTATAATAGCTTTTTTTTTTGTTTTAGAAGATAAACACATGAAAGGACAACTCTGTCTACAAAAATGGGGCGAATACAACTCGGATTTCTAACTACGTTAATTTTCGCCTCCGGTTTCACCACGTTATATGCTAAAATAAACGGCCGACATGTTCGAGTTAATGACTGCGACAACGGGCGTATGTGTTGAGCCCCCAGTGGGTTATGCTAAGCGCGCGGACGAGGGGCGTCGAAAACCACGCGAGTTATTTTGCCGAAGAGGGACGGGGGACGGGTTTTAAACCGCCGCTGTACATATGGATGCGGGTTGCGCACCGTGCCTAGGGCTCAGATTGGATTACGCGGATATGCGCTAATTGATTAAAGCGCCGTACGCAATGCTGCATGACGATCGCGCTGCTGCGCAAACGCACGTAGACTGACTGCACATAGGCAGTTCTCCCCTCCGTTTCATTTTCGTTGGATAAATCGCGGTGTTCCGGCCAGTCGCGAGAGAAGCGACACCGCAGAATATATTATTCTACGTGCGATAACATAACAAATATATTTCAGATCGTTCTGCGTGTACTGTTGATATATTTTTTCAGTAAATAAAATCTCAATATAGATAATTTCTTTTCATTCGACTACTGCGTTCTCGACTTTTTGCACAGGTGAATGTTCACCGAATTGACAGAAAAGTAGCGCGCGATTACTTTTTAGAAGAAACACTCGCTCGGTCTCTTGTTAATTCGACAGAGTTTTTTTTCTGATTAACATGTTTTTTTTTTTTACTAATAAATAAAATCTAGTCACAATGTGAAGCTGCCGCGACTTCTCAAGTTCTTTAAATTATGAAAATTACAAAACCGCGTGCGCACAAAAGTATTGTAATTAGCAAAAGTACGGGGATATATATCCTATATTTCCTCTCCTACGCCTACGCGCGAGAAACTTCCTCGGCGGTCGCAAGCATCGCCGCGGAGAGTTGGAGAGACGCCGGAATAATTAACGGCTATACGATTTAATTAATGACCGCTTAATGTAAAGTAACTACTGTAGGTAATGCGATTCTTTGAGGTGTTGGCGACGGGAAAACTCGAAGGGAAAAGGGGAAAGGAACGAGAGAGAGAGAGGGCAGAGGTGGATTAAGTGTCTCGCGTAAGAGCCCTTGACGAAGGGGATGTGATTTATATAATTTAGCAAAGTGGTGAGCTACGCAGTCTTATACCGGATCGTTAGTCATTCCCCACCTCCTTCGTCAGGAAAGGAGCAGCTCGTTCTCTCACCTTAATCACCCTCTTCCTTCGCTTTTCTGCATCTGTCTGATAGAATCTTCCGCGTGAAGATGCTTCTTCGAGAAGATGCGTTGCCGCTTTCCTGTGTGTCGCCTAAAATATTTAACAGGAATGATTAACACGCCAATATGTAACGCAGTTATAATATATTGCGTTAAAAACAACAAATCACTTTTGCACTTTCCACACGCGTCGTTGAATTTTTCTTTCCACGTGAGAGAGACACAGTCTAATGTCATCTAATTAGAGACGCTGTCCGAGCGTCTCGATTTGAATAAGATTCTCATAAACGCGGCGAGATATATGTTGATGACACTTGGACTGGGAGAAATGGTCCGTGAACAACTAGAGGAGATCAATTTGGTGGCACGTCGTTCGTGCTTGTAATGCGCATTTGTTCGTGTGAATTAATCATCGCACAACGAAAACCTTTCCGTTTCTTGCTCCGCACTTCTGACGATGACTCACACACAACTAGGATTTTCTTTTTTCGTCAAAGATACGCCCGCTTATCTTCAGTACGTACACATTGTTTTTCTTTTTTTTTACATTTTTAATTTTACACAGAGAAGAAAAGGCGTATCTATATGGTTTTGCACAATTTACATGGATTTTTTTTTATTTCGTATGACAATATTTTGATTGTGACTTCTACGTCCGATTGTTTGAGCGACAGTCAACTTGCAGGATCCAATTGCCGGAGCAACGGAAGTAGCAACGGCAAGCAGAGAAGGTCGCGGACGAACTTCACGATCGAGCAATTGACCGAACTCGAGAGACTCTTCGACGAGACGCACTATCCCGATGCGTTTATGAGGGAAGAGTTGAGCCAGCGACTCGGCCTCAGCGAGGCGCGGGTACAGGTCTGGTTCCAGAATCGACGCGCCAAGTGTCGCAAGCACGAGAGTCAGTTGCACAAAGGTAAAACTCCACATCCATCGAAGATCACCCACTTCAGTGTCCGTTCTTACATCTTGTAAGATCTACTCTCAGACAAATTGACTTTGTTCGCAGGTGTCGCGGGAAGCATGGTGCTGGCGCCACGCAGCCCGCCGACAACACTGGAGCCGTGTCGGGTAGCGCCTTATCTGCCGGCTCTTAGGTTGCATCCGCCACCTCTGCAAGGTACAGGCGTCAATGTCACGGTGGGCTCGGCGTTTGACCCAGCGGTGTTGCATTACGCGGCGGCCGGCGGTCTCTTCTGCCTGCCGCCGCCGCCACCGGCACCGTCGGCCGGTCATCCTCATCCGCTGAGTTTGGCAGCGTCGCTGGCCGCCGCGGCGGCTCGCTCGAAGAACAGCAGCATCGCCGATCTGAGACTGAAGGCGAGGCGACACCAGGAGGCCTTAGGCCTCGACAGGCCCGCGTAAGGGCCGCGATTTAGCGCTTGGACGACGAAGTCGACGTGGACGAAAGGAAGATCAGTACGGTGAGTACGGTCAGTGTCGAAGAGGACTTGGTGTTTCCGTCGGATTTGTAATTCGAAGCGACATGAAGATCGAATTACGCGAAATGGATTGCAATCTGTAATCCCAGTGAGTTCAATCTACGAAGTTGTAAGAAATACGCGTGTAGCTTTTGCAAAGCAAATCTATCGATGCTCGCCGTCACCGTCTCTTGTTAAGACTCTATAGGCGAACGAAGATACAAATCTATGCTTTGTCAATCAAAAATTGTAACCTGAAGAACTTGAGAAATTTTTGTTTTCTTCTCATTTATTGAGGATATAAAGTAAACTCGCAAGAATTGTTATTAACTGTTTACGCGTACAAATTCATAAAAGTTCCATTTGTTGTTTTCTACGTAACATCGCTCGTATGCAGAGTTTTACAAGAGTGTGACGCGTGTAATAAGTATCATTTCGTCCGCGACGTGCCGAAACGTCTGAGAAGTACAAAGGACACTCAAAATGTGTATAAAAAGTAAATAGAGGCGGAAAAACGTGTAACATACATAATGTATACATACAAGATTGGGAATCTTTGCTTGTATCTCGATTTAGCGTGCTCCGTGTCAAAGAACTGTGATGTAAAACCGATAACTAGAGAAACGACATTTTAATGTAAGTTTATCGCCACTGATTCTTGAAACCGGCTCTCCTTCTTGCGTTAGCGGGCGTTTGTTCGGAGCCAATGTTTTGTGTGTATTTATGTGTATCAGTGTGTGTGCTCACATCATACACGCGCGCGTGTGTGTAGGGACACGCGTGTACACAAATCTTAAAGAATTTTTAAAAATCTATTAGGGGAAACTTTAGAACCTTTCGAAAAATTAATAATTAATTATGTAAAGATCTTACGTCGCTTGCAAGAGATTTTAGTAACATTTATTTTGCATATTTTAGTCGTCAAGATAATCCAAAAAAAACTATTAAAATCTATTAGGACCGCATCAAACTGTACAAAGAATCTTGCCTCGTTTTTATGCGATTGTTTTTTTTTTTTTGTAAAAAACATCTAATGACAAAGAAATTAAGTAACGATCCACCAAAAAGGACGAAGTTTCCTTTGCAAGAGGAATCTTCCATAATTTCTGAAAGAAAAAAAACAAAAAAAAACGTAGTAGATTTCGGTCTTGCGATGATCGTTGAGATATTAGTTCACGAGAGAATGTGGGAAACTCCAAGACGCGTTAAGGATCACTGACCACGAGAGCAAATTATAAATCGCCGCGTCCTGGCAACGGCGTGTAAGGCATAACTCTCGTAGATAATTCACGGATGGGTGGATGGACGCCGGGCGACTTCTCGCGCTCTCGTCGCCGGCAAATGCAAGCGAGGGACGGCCGGGCATCGGGCACTAATGTAATAACGCGCGGCTACGCGGATAAATCAAGCCGGGTGAACCGCTTCGAATAGCGCCGCGCGCCATCGTCGTGCCGCGCCGCGTAATCGCGTTACCCCGAACGTCTCCGGGGTGCCGTTATTGTCTCGAAAACTCCGCCCGTCCTCAGAGCGAGATAACCCCTACCCCCTTCCCCCCAAAAAAGCGCGTGTTCTTCTCGGCGATTTGTTCAATCCGTTTCAGGCAAATTGTGTTCGCTCGACAAACGCGTGAGTTTCTTAATGCGGTTGACGTTGTTGTCTTCGGCGATGTATAAATTTCTTCGCGCATCAAATTATGTGCGTAAGAAACTTTGTATCAAATATTACTTTTTTTTTGCTACGCACACGAAATGAAACATGACACGTAACGTGTATCGCATTCGAAACACGTTATATAGAACGTCTTCGAGCGCATCTTTGCGCATAAATCCAGAGACTCGCGTCTAGGGAAGGGGTTGTAATCGCGTTAACACAGATTCATATTGGTCATCCCCGGGGAGTTGTTATAGTTCCGTTCGCGTGTATCGACAGATCGAGGCAACGCCGCACGACCGTGATTTGATTAACAACTTTAATTAAGAAGAATACGTACGGGCGTAACAACGTACGATAGATACCGCGACGAACTTTTTGTGATTGCCATGTAAAAACTCCTCTTCGCAGCAGTTTGTTCGCTTTTTACGACCGCTGAATCGATTCTGCAAGTGACAGCCCATAAACACCGGTAATAAATTTCATACGGTTTTTAATGAAGACATGTATAAAATGCACATATTGAATCTTTAAAATTTTTATTCGAAGCTACATCTAAAAGATTCAGCAAAAATGTCTGATCTTTTTATTGGTACATATGGTTTTTGAATTATTCAACGTTTATTAGAAACGTTTATTGTTTTTAAAAGTTGCGATTAATCACTGCTTTTCATTTTTACAGTGAAATATTAAAAATCTCGAAATTATAAGTTAATAAGAGCCTAAGTGATGTCGTTGGTGAATTTTCAAGTGACTTTTATTAAGACAAACTTATTAACTTATGAACTAATTTCCTAGTCACTAAGAGAAGTTGAACCGGGTTAGAAGTTTGCTTTTGCAAGTGATATAATACACGAGGTCGCGCGAGGTTAAAAGTTTGCTTTTTGTAATTGGTATAATAAAGAGTCGCTTGAAAAGTTTTTTGGAAATCAACACAATTAACTCGCATTAAGAAAATCTTGATAATTAGAACAAATGTAAATACAGAAAGTATAAATCTACTCAAGTTATCAAATTTTTTCATTGAGATGATCAGTAATGATTAAGAACTGGATGCATATACACATGTCTTCATATATTCGTACAACATAAAATAATCCTCCGGCACTTTATCCACGAGTGAAAAGATAATAAGGCGCAAGGCCAGGGCCAAGGGCTGCGTATTCGCTCTTTTCCACCTTCGTGATGGAATTTTCACGAATAATATAAATTCTCTCGCCTATCCCGGAGATAATCCGGAAGGCGCCGAGGGGAAAAGTCTCTCCTCTCTCTTACCCCTCTCCCTCCCATCCATTTTAATCCGAGTTTTAAGAAGTTTTTTCTATTGCTCGTAAATTGGCCGTCGTTTGTCTCGTCGGGGGTCACGTGGGACCGGCAAGGGGGTGGGATACCCACCCTCGGGGTATTTTCCCTACCATAACGGAATCCTGTTGTTCGCACATTGCGCATTCGTGGTGCGCGAAGAGTGTGGGACGGGAGAGAGGATGAAAACTCGTAAACTGCGATATAATGTCCCACGAAAACCAGCTACCATCATCAATTATCTCCGCCCCCTTGTCCCCTCGCAGGGGATGAAACGAGGAATAATCGAGAATGCGCAGAGAACGGGGGACGAGAGGCAGCTTGTCGAGATTTCTTGGGGGGAGGAGGAGGATGTCGCGTGCGCGCGTGCGTGTGCATATATTTAATTAAATTATTTTGATAAATGTTTTATTCTAAACATTAAAATATCTATCGCAAACAATTTGCAAACGTTTCCAAAAACTGTAGAATTTAAACTCGTCTTTGTTTCTTTTCTAAAATCGTTTGGATCATTTTGTGAGCGAGATTACAAAGATTTTTTAATTGTTTTTCAAGAATTTAATTCATATTTTCGTTTACAGAAAAATGAGAGCCGTTAGCATGATTCGGAGAAATATCGTATATAAGAAATTCGCTAACGCCCGTTCGGATAACTAGCAAAAGACTGCGGCAACAGATCAATCCTGCAATTCCGACGCGATCGACGGAAGAGTGAGAGTGAGGGGAGGGGTGGGAATGCATGCGGATACTCTTCGCGAGATTTGGAAATAATTCAGTTCGGTGTTGAGGGAAAGGGAACGAGGGAGAGAGCACTGACTGGCGGGTCAAGGGGCCGCTTGCTCCGCTCGGTCCTTCCGGCCCCCGCGTGCCTTAATCTAATCCAAGGATAATCTAAAATTCATGGCACACATAACTGCCAGGCGATGATATATCTGGCGGGGGTGTAAAGGCAACGTCTTCCGCCGTTCCGTACTTCCCTTTGCCCATCCCCCGTCCCAGGCTCTCGCCTAGCGGCAGCACGGGCAGCGCAGCACCTAGCAGCAATCACTGACATTATTATTTAATGCCACGAGCGTGGCGGCGGCGTATACGCCAACCAACTACTCGTAAATCGCAATATCGTGGAGAACTGCCTCTGGATGTTGTTTATCTTACAGAGAGGAATTATCGGACCCGATTGCTGCCAAGCCAATCTTTCTTCTTCAGCATCGTGAGATATGTACACATTTACGTGTTACCTTGTTGCTTTTTTTGAATGATCGTATTTTAAAAAAAACTACGCTACATATTATTTTTTATTATTTATTCGAGAGATTACGCTACGTATATTACCTGGTGTTTCCAATTGTAAAAATTCTGCATTCTCCTATTTCCAATATTGTGTTATCTAGAAAATTGTTTCAAGACTCTCTCGGGATCCTTGCAATAATTCAAAAAAATTATGTTAGAATTATTTATCTATTTTTTCATTAAATTAATCGACTTGTGTGTGCGCGCGATCACTTGTACGTAACTCTTCTCGTCGATATCCCGTCGTTCGAGACCGGATAATCTGGGAGAATACGACGGCCTCTCGTCGTTTTTACGATGAAAAACAAGATGCACGCAAATGGACCGGGGGATGATCACGCGCCGACGATAAGAAGAGAGCGGGGCGCGATAAAGAGCGAGAACGAGGAGCTAAATGCGAGTTTTTCCCCCCTCCTGTTTCTCTACCCTCTCTTCCCTCTCCTCAGAATGGATTCAATGTGGAATCAATTCGCGTAATAGTTTCGATGGGTGGTAAAGAGGGGTCAGAGGGGGATGGGCTTAAATCGAGACTAGCGGTCGTAGGAGCGAGTTAACTGAAGCGAGAGCTCGGATACGGGCCATTACCACACCTGTCCCTCAACTTCGACTTCGCGAGAAGCCCGAGCCCGGCGAACTCTAATGAAGAGAAGCAATCACTTAAGCCGGTCCCGCCGCCTGTGTATATACCGGGTGTGCCGGGCGCTTCGGGATATTCGACGATATGGTTTTATTTGCGCGGTGTCGATACAGCTTTTACGGCTCACTCGGGGGAGTGCTCGAACGGCAGGACGAGACGCGAAAGCGAACAAGCGGACCGTTCTGTCCCGGACGTTTGCCGATCGAAATCGCTCCTCCGGGATATTGCCGATCATTTGTAACGTGAGATGTTACATCATTAACTTCCTGATAGCTCGTGAATCGGGAGAAGGACGTTCTGTGAATGTATTGAGAGAATCGGAACACAGTTGTCTTTTCCATTCAGTTCCGAGATCATCGCGATTGAACGAGAGCGTGCTACGATGTCGAAGATCAACAAATAGGGCGCATAGATGATAAAATAAAAAAGTTGCTAATCCGAGGAAATTGGACGCAACGATTGTTTTCGTTTCATAGAAATATTATAGAGATTGGTGATCGTTGAACGGTTCGAATGATTAAATAAGGATTTAATGACGTATTCGCTACTACGTGTAAGAAATCGCAAACGCGAAACGATTACTTGTCATTTTACGTCTACGCAAAATTTAGATCTTAATATTATTCGAGATATAGATTATGTTGCATTATACAAAACAACTATGGCGATGTTTTAGATAAGTGACAGCGAACGTGTTACCTGTTAGAGCTCATTCGCATCTGCAGGATCTTCACTCTTGTGTATCAGAGATAAGTTCTGAAATAATTAAAAAAAAAATAAAAAATAAAACAAAAATGTAACAAGCTATGCGATTAAAAAACGAAACAAATTATTTTGTTTCGATTGTCCATTTTGAACAAGAGACTAAAAACGGAAGAACAACCAAGAAGAGCAATTCCACAAGTGTTTTATCCTCGAAAAAAAAAAAAAGCAAAGAGAATAAAGCGAGTGACTTGATATATCAAAAATAAATTTAGGATTGTGTGACGTGTTAAAAGACACGCAACGGTGCTCGATACTCGTCAAGATTTATTATTTCGTGAATGAAAAATGTAATCACGTGGCGCACGCAGAAAAACCAAATGAGTGTGATACGGAGAGGAAACTTAACCGGTATAATTTCAATGTCTTCATCTTTTGATGCTATAGATACGACAAAAGTCGTTAGAAATAAATAAAGAAAAAAGAGGGATTGAATTCTTACACACACACACACACACACACACAGAAATTCATCTCGGGTGTAACCTTTTGAGATTGTCTTCTTTGTATATATAGAAACGTATAATCTTTCTCACTTCTTCCTCCATCCGCACGGATTTGCTAATTTGCTCTACACTAATGTATAATATCTCTATAGTACTATTACAGTTCGCACTAT